AAAAAAAAAAAAAAAAAAAAAATCCAAATTCTACATTTGCTTCATCTGTCATAGCTTTGCCCACAACATTCCCTAATTACCATAATTTTTACAGCATGTATCACATTATATCCCATTATAATGTTTAAAGCACGAATCCCATTAAATATTACAGGGAAAAGGAAAGCTATTACTTTCTTGGTATACATCTTAGATTAACAACTCTCCCAACCTTCCTTACTTTAACCTAAAATATTTTAACTTAGCTATCATTATTATCTACTGTGTACTGAGAGCTGAAATGTGCGTACCCTTTTTATCATGGAGGTCACATCTAGAAACCTTTTCTAAATAAATTATGAGAAGCACAAAGAAAATTACAGTGCATTACATACATGACATAAAAACTAAGAAAAATTCAGCGTGGCACCTGTGGGTCAAGTGGCTAAGGCGCCAGCCACATACACTTGGGCTGGTGGGTTCTGGTCCGGGCCCACCAAACAACAATGCTGGCTGCAACAAAAACAGCCTGACATTGTGGTGGATGCCTGTAGTCCTAGCTACTTGGGAGGCAGAGGCAAGAGAATTGCTTGAGCCCAGGAGTTGGAGGTTGCTGTGAGCTGTGATGCCACAGCACTCTACCCAGGGCAACAGCTTGAGTCTCTGTCTCAAAAAAAAAACAAAAACAAAAACAAAAACCCCAAAACTAAGAGAAATTCAAATGCATCCATCTAGAACTAAAAGTAGACCTTCCACTTGATGTAGCAATCCAAATACTGGATATCTACCCATAGAAAAAGTCTTTTTTTAACAAAGACACATGTACCAAAGTATTTATCATCCTACAATTCACAATTGTAAAGATATGAAACCAACCTAAATGCCCCCCCCACACACACACACAGAACATGGAGTACTATTCAGCCATAAAATGCAATGAAATAATGTCTTTCGGCTTGGCGTCTGTGGCTCAAGTGGCTAAGGTGCCAACCACATACACCTAAGGTGGCGGGTTCAAATCCAGCCCGGGCCTGCCAAATAATAATAATGGCTGCAACTGAAAAAAAAATAGCCAGGCGTTGTGGCGGGCACCTGTGGCCCCAGTAACTTGGGAGGCAGAGGCAGGAGACTTGCTTGAGCCCAGGAGTTGGAGGTTGCTGTGAGTTATGCCATGGCACTCTACCAAGGGGGACAGCTTGAGGCTCTGTCTCAAAAAAAAAAAAGAAAGAAAAGAAAAGAAATAATGTCTTTCATAGCTACTTGGATGGAACTGGGGACTATTATCTGAAGTGAAGGAATAACGAAATGTAAGGAATAAAAAACAGATACCACATGTTTTCACTTATAAGTGGAAACTAAACTAGCAATATTAAGGTCATCAAGAATGGTAATGGATATGGGAAACTAAGAGGGAGAAGCGTGAGGGACAAAAATCTCCCTACCAGTCACAGTGTACACTATACTGGTGATAAGTATTCTTTTTCTTTTAGACAGAGACTCAAGTTGTTGACCTGGATGGAGTGCTGTGGTGTCACAGTTCATAGAAACCTCCAACTTCAGCTCAAGTGATCCTCTTGCCTCAGTTTTTTCTTTTTTTTAGAGACAGAGTCTCACTTTGTCACCCTGAGTAGAATAATGTGCATCATAGCTCACAGCAACCTCCAACTCTTGGGCTTAGGTGATTCTCCTGCCTCAGACTCCTGAGTAGCTGGGACTATAGGTGCCTGCCACAACGCATGGCTATTCTTTTTTGTTGTTGTTGCAGTTTGGCCAGGGCCAGGTTTGAACCCGCCACCCTCCGTATATAGGGCCAGTGCCCTAGCCACTGAGCAACAGGTGCCACCCTAGTTTTTTCTATTTTTACTAGAGATAGGGTCTCACTTTTTGCTCAGGCTGGGCTCAAACTTGTGAGCTCAAGCAATCCACCCGCCTTGGCCTCCCAGAGTGCTAGGATTACAGGCTTGAGCCACCGCACTCAGCCTAGTAAAAGCCCTAACTTCAGCATGATACAATTCCTCTGCATAAACTAAAAACACTTGTACCCCCTAAATACTTTGAAATTTAAAAATAAAGTTCATGTCTGTGTTACAATGATGTTCTTTTACCTCAGTTGTATTTGTTTCCGTTTTTGTAATTCTTGGTTTCTGAGTTCTTCCAAGCGTCTCAGTTCTTCTTGACGTCTCATTAGATCTGTAAAACATTGATTATACATTAACGTTTACTAAAATGTTTATTTTAATGTTTATTAAAGTTTTTCTTTCTATATTTTTATATCAATAAGCATACACATTCTCTATCATTGGCAATATGTCTATTAACCATTTTATAATGAAAGAATATAACGGAGCATATTGCAAGGTATAAATCAAATCTATCAATAGAACATAAATGTCTTAACACAATAATTAAGTAAACGAGGTGAAAGTTAAGTTGATTTGATGTAAGTACTCCATATTGTATAAAAAAATCAACACATTGTACCCCACAAATGCATAAATGTATTCATGTTCTATGTATATATAACTTAAAAGGAAAAAAAAAAGAAAGAATATAAGCTGAGTGATAAAATTAATATCCTTTCTGGGCATGTTAATGTCCCTTCTGAGCTTGTATATAAAAAGAATAAAATTCTTCTGTATACTAAGAAATTAAAAGGGGTAGTAACTGTTTTAATGTAAGACCTGGGACATACCAAAAACATAATAAATGACTGCTATGTTAACTAGTTTTTATTTATAATTTTTAAACAAACTGTAATTTTTTTCAGCAGCAAATGCAAACCCCCAAAGATGCTATGAGGGACAACAGCAGAGGGCACTTAAGAACCCAACCAAATAGGAATACATAGGGCACTACAAAAAACCCAAAGAACAAACTTCCCATCACAATTAGCATAAGATTCCTCTTTCACAAATGGAAGAAGTAGAAAAAGAATTTTTCAAAAGACAAAACCAGGCTCAATTACTGATGTGAACAAGACTGTTTTCAACAACAAAAAGCATTCTTGGCTCACCGCCTGTAGCTCAAGCGGCTAAGGCCCCAGCCACATACACCAGAGCTGCCAGGTTTGAATCCAGCCTGGGCCTGCCAAACAACAATGACAACTACAACCAAAAAATAGCCGGGTGTTATGGTGGGCGCCTGTAGTCCCAGCTACTTACTTGGGAAGCTAAGGTAAGAGAATCACTTAAGCTCAGAAGTTGGAGGTTGCTGTGAGCTGTGAGTTACAGCACTCTACCCCGGGCAATAGCTTGAGGCTCTGTCTCCAAAAAAAAAGCATTCTTATTCTCACCAATCTCAAATTTTAGAGTAAGATAAGATAATCAAAAGTACATTTAGGCTGGGCGCCTGTGGCTCAAGCTGCTAGGGCGCCAGCCACATGCAACTGAGATGGCGGGTTTGAATCCAGCCCAGCCCCACCAAACAATGACGGCTGCAACCAAAAGATAGCTGGGCATTGTGGCAGG